GAGGGATTCTTGGACTTGTATCTCCCCCTGGGCTCAGGGCCTGAAAGCTTATAAACCTGATCTGTTGGTTTAAAGGAGAGACGTGAAGATCCACATCTAGACACTTGGGAGGCAAAAAGTTAAGCCAGTCAGTGCCAGCTTAAGCTGGAACCGTCTGCCCAGAGCATTCCTGTCTCTGCTTCTCTAATCAGTGACCTCTCTGGGGAGGCTGGGTGTCTGGAGACAGACCCTGGTGTCTATGGTAGCCTGCCCCTCAGCTCCCTGTATCTCTGAAGTGGAGCTGTGGGTGTGAGCCCTTGCCCACCCTCCCTGTGTCCGTGGTAGCCTGCCCCTGAGCTCCCTGTACCTCTGAAGTGGAGCTGTGGGTGTGAGCCCTTGCCCACCCTCCCTGTGTCCGTGGTAGCCTGCCCCTCAGCTCCCTGTACCTCTGAAGTGGAGCTGTGGGTGTGAGCCCTTGCCCACCCTCCCTGTGTCCGTGGTAGCCTGCCCCTCAGCTCCCTGTATCTCTGAAGTGGAGCTGTGGGGGTGAGCCCTTGCCCACCCTCCCTGTGTCCGTGGTAGCCTGCCCCTCAGCTCCCTGTATCTCTGAAGTGGAGCTGTGGGTGTGAGCCCCTGCCCACCCTCCCTGTGATGCTCACCTTTGCCTGGCTCTCTGATGTCTCTTTATTCCTTTCTTGCTGCAGTCAATTGTTGGTGATTCCAGGAGGATTAGTGGGGTCTCTTCCCTCCAGGCATTGTCTGTGCCAAAGGTGTTCCTGACATGAGAGGCCAGGTGAAGTGCCAGGGCAGTTTGTTGGCCTAGTGTTGGGTACTCACCACCTTGGGCTTCTGCACACCTTCTTGATCTCTTTTCTGAATAGTCTCGGTCTTTTGCTTTCCTCATCTGTAAAATGGGGGAAGTAATAATGCCTACCTCACAGGCTTGTTGTAAGAATTCAGTGTGTTAAAAAATAATCGAGATATCTATATCTCTATCTCGACAACCACGTGGTGCTCAAGTACTGACCAGTTAGAACAGGTGGTGACCAGTGCACCATACTTGTGTGTCCTAGATGAGTGTCACCCAGATGAGGCATAAAATGGGTAAAGTGGGGTTGTTCATACAGTGAACAGATGTAAATGCCAATGAATATAATAGTAGCTGTTTCTCCCTTCACGCAGTGAAAGGTCAGGCAGAACTGAACCGCGGTCCTCCTGAACCATCCTCCTCCTGAGCTATCTTATCACAGGCTGCTCTGTCCTGGAATGGTCTTCTCCCCCCAGTTTACCAAGGTTTCAGCCTCCTTCCTGGGAGTCCTCCCGGGGCCTGCTCCCCCGCAGGAGGGACGTGGTGTACTCTGAGCTCAGTCACCCCTCCTCTCTCACTCCTCCAGCACTGACCCAGATTGCAGGACTCGCCTTGTGTAGTGTTTGCATGGCCACGTGGCTTATTTCTGCCCTTTTCTCTGTCTCTGTAGGGTGGAGGCTGTTTTTGACTCATCTCTTAGTCTCTTGAAGCACTTACTGGGCCTTGCCTGGTGTAGGTGCTCAGGAAGTGTTAGCTGAATGAAAGAGGCAGGCCAGGGAAGTGGTTTCTCTGTAGTTAGAGTATTGGACCTAGAAGGCTGGGTTTGAATAGGCAGAAAAAAGTGGGAGGGGTGAGATGGTAATGAATCCAGATTGGGAGGCCAGGTAGGAACCACATCTGATGCTTTTATGTAGCCAGGACAGGGTGATAGAAAGGGCCCATTCTAGATGGCTGTGTCTAGAAGGCCAGTGATGCTTGGTCACGTGGGTAGGGAAGATGGTGGATGGATTGGGATGACAGGAATGACAGAATAGCTTAGTGTAGGTTCTTCTTGGGAACTCAATGCAGAACAGAAAAAAGAAACCCCGGTGGGCAGAAGGCAAATGTGGAAACCAAATCCAAGTCAAGTGCTGGACCTTCAGAGGGCCCAGAACTCTCTCTGGCGCACCCTCTCTTTCATTCTGGATTCACCCCATTCTTTCTCTCTCTGCTGCCATCTTCCGCCTTAAGCCTGAAGCAGTTCTTGGCACTTGCTCCCGTGGGGAGCACACAGGAGAGAGGGTCTGTGTAGGTGTGATTCACAGGCACAAGCAAGGGGACAGACTCTACAGTTTTGTTTTTTTTTCCTTTACAGCATCCTGTGAGCCCACTGGAATATCAGGAATTTTGAGTGATACCTAGATAGGAGAGCTCTTAGGGTCATTGAAGAAACTGGGGTTTTCTTGGTGGCAATTTGCAATTTTAATAGTTGTTGAAATTCAGTGAAATTTTCTAGTAACCACTGAAACTATTCGCAGTTAGGCTTACTGACACTAACCCATGAAATAAAGTTCTGATAGTCACATGGTTGGTTGTTATTTGGCAGGATCCTAATAGTATAGCCTAAACCAGGTGTCCTTAAACTGCGGCCTGCCCAGGACATTTATCCGGCCCACCCGTGTTTTTGCTGCCACTGCCAGTCCTGCTTAGCAGCTGACTCGTCCTGGAGCCCACAGTCCAGCCCTCCAGTGGTCTGAGGGACAGTGAAGTGGCCCCCTGTTTAAAAAGTTTGAGGACCCCTGGACAGTGAGCTGAATGATAGCTGGCCTTGCCTATACTGATATAAAGAAGTAAATGGGGGGCATCTCGGGAGTTGGGGGACAGAGTTCCCATCTGTGGTAACCTGGGGCACGCCATTTAGCCACACAGGGCCCCAGTGTTCTGGATGGTAAGATGACTACCTCAAATGGAGAATCAGATGAGAAAATGTTTGCAAAGGGGCCTGGGGTCTGTTAGGGGTGGAGATGACATTGTTGATATTGTGGGTGTGTTATTGCAAGGAACCATGAAGCTGGGAGTGGAGCATGTGTTGGTGGAGGCTTGGCTCTGTGACTGCTTGATGTCTAATTTTCTGGTGGTTTATGCTCTGCCTTAGCAGAAAAGAAAGGAGGAAGTTGATGGGAAAATCAGGTACCCCCTCCCCCTAACACAGTGGTTCTCAACCTTCCTAATGCCTCCTAGTGCTGTGACCCTTTAATACAGTTTCTTGTGTTGTGGTGACCCCCAACCATAAAATTATTTTCATTGCTACTTCATAACTGTAATTTTGCTACTGTAATGAATCATAATGTAAATATCTAATATGCAGGATGTATTTTAATTGTTACAAAGGGGTCGTGACCCATAGTTGAGAACCGCTGCCCTAACACCTGGCAGGGGGAGGCTGGTTTGACGGACAGTAAGATGGGAGAGGAGAAACACAGGGGCTGCTGAGAAGGAGGCAAGGGAGCATATGGTGCAGTCAGCCTGGGCAGTGGCGTCTCTAGGGGAAGAGGTTGTGTATGAGTGGGGGTGATAGCAGATGTGAGCTTGCTATGGTCACTAAAAAGGTCATGGCTATTTTTAGGAAGTAGGTGAAAAGGCGTGTTTCCACTGAACTCTTCATTAGTGAGTACCCACACTTTGCCCAGCCCTGTGCTGTGTGAACAAAAGGAGAGCCACCTCCTTTCACCCTACCCTCGTTCCCCTGGATGTCCCTGAGACTTGGGACACTAGATGGGAACCAGGTTTAAAGGGTGGGGAAGATCATGGATTGGGCTTTGGACCTGTTACATTTGAGGTAACAAATAGGCTGATGGGTCTGGGGCTCAGAAGAGGTCTAGGTTAGACATTTTTGTCTAGCTTGTGTTCGTACTGAAAAGTCAAGGGCACGGTGCCCTTAAACCTATAAAGAGATCAGAACAAGATAGTCAGGAGGCATTCACAAAGCTAGGGCAGAGGTGTATCATAGAAGCCAGGTGAGTCCGCTTTAGTAGGACGGAGTGGTCAGCAGTGGCATTGCTGCCATTAGCTGTGGCTGTTTGGTGGGGTGATGGGAGCAGAAGCCAGATCGGAAAGCATGGGTGAGGAGTAGCAGGGGGTGAGGATGTGGGGCAGCAGGTATAGCTAGGCTTTGATATGCTGGCTTTGAAGGGGAGGAGAACTGTTTCCTCACCTACCCTCCTGCTTCTTTTCTACTCCAGAAGGTAGCATTTGGATAGTCTGCAGATGACATCCCTCCCCACCTCTCTCTGTGTGCACAGACACAGGCACCTGGAAATTTTCTTTCAGAAAATTGATGGGTTCATGCTGGACACCTTAAACTGCAACTTTAGTTTTTGACTATGTATCATACAGGGTAACTCTGGGTTAAAGTTATTCCAAGTCAACAGCAACTATGGAATGTTGTGTAGTTCAGAGTTATGATAATTTATTCATCTGTTCCCTTTTTGATGCATATCGAGATCATTAACTGATTTTATTGACTTAAAACAGTATTTTATAAGTAACCTGTAAGGACTTTGTTAAATGTATTTGTTTAGAAAGAGTTGACTTTTTTTTATTGTTGCAGTTTTTGGCCTGGACTGGGTTTGAACCCGCCACCTCCAGCATATGGGGC